ATGGCCCAGTCGCGCCCTCAATGGCGCTCGTGCATCTAAGCTATTGCCTTCAATGCATAGCTCCTTTTCCAACCCCCCCCCCCCACTTGACAGCCCACTGACAGTGCTGGATTTATGCACCAAGTTATCAGCTCCCGCCCCCAATGCGCAGCTACCTACCCCCTCCCCCAAATCATCGGTGAACGAAACTGCGGCAGCTACAACCACTGTACGAGTACGCGGTTATTACAGCTGACAATGATGATGATTTTAACAGCAGTGACTGTGTGTCTATGTGCGAAACAGAATAACCATCGTTCGTTGCGAACGGGCTTGTGGTATTGTCATTTGACCGGACGCATTGTTGTGTATTCAAGCACACTTCCGTGATTAGTGTTAGTTTGTTGTGAGGACCTGATCCTACCGGTAATGAAGCTAACGCTGAGTACCGCCTTGCAGTCCCCGGAAGAAACTAGAAAAACAATTCACCTGAGCACTAGAGAAACGGTGGCAAATCCTGTGCACAATAATACCAGACGCTGGTTTTCTTGGTGAGGCTTGAGTGAACCGGCGGAACACACCGGGTTCTACAAATTAACAAGTGGCCCAGAAAAACAGATCTGAAGCAAAAACAATGTGTGTAGAAAGTCGAGTGAATAACATCTAGACGGAGGATTCAGTTGTAACTCGTGGGAAATCAAACGGAGCTTCAGTCATAAGATTCACGCAGCACGAATTCACTCAACATGTGCAAAGACTGGTACCCAAGTCAGTAACATGAAGGGGTCACAAAAACTACAGGAAATGAAGTAGACCATTTGGTGGGAAAGATCGTATTCGAATGAGAGAACTCACCACTGTGTATACATCTGGCAGCAAATAGGCGAAGAGGCGCCGGTTGTCATCGGCGAGAAGCTGCATGGGGGAATGATGTGGGGTACGTGGTATTTATGCAAACACGTTGACAATTAAGCGAGAGCTATGCTATTAAGTGGCAGTGAGTGACAAGATTAACTAAAGAAACCGTTTTGCTTGATTCTATCACATAAAAATCGAATGAATTATTGTCGTGTATAAGTTAAAGCCGTAGCGTTCTACTCCACTTCACTACACCAAGCAAACTGGCAACAGTAGACTAAGAAGGGTAGTGCAGTGTAGAAATGCGCAAATATTAAGCAACGGAGTGGTTGACACAGGGTGCCTTGAGGAAGAGGCACAGCATCAATGACATGCTATACATCAGGTATTCCTGTGCCGTAGTGTCCTTATGAAAAGATGCGTGCATATAGCAAAATCCAGTATCAAAGTGTATGCGCTGTCTACCAGCACATCTGAGGCAAACTACACTTATCTGGTTGCTTAAAACTGCAAAAGGCTGTAGTGCTTCCCACCCAGATGAGGAGCGCCCACAATGAATCATTACAAAACGTGAAGGTCCGGAACATTTGCATAAATCTCATGATTTCGTTGGACGTTTTGTTAAAACATACCCCCACTGAAACCGCCGGAACTAACCTGCATATCCTTGAACAAAGAATCCCGGAGATTCGGATTTTCCTGGCTGGCACAAAAGTTTCGATAGATAGTCATCGATTCGTCATTCACATTACTAAAATGGTCAAAAATAGAGAGCAGATCATCGACAAATTTGGAAAACAAAAGAAACGTGGAAGTCTCGAGGACCAAAACCTTGGGGGATATGACCACAGAGTGAAAATGGCGATAAACTGAGATAGCTCCCTTTGATGGACAAAATTTGAGAACATGCCCTAGTAAAAAAAGGTCCGTTTAACGAAGATACATTCCAGATGCACGCTTGAGACGTTGACGAAGAGTCATCCGTTGTCGAATATCAGCTAGAAAGTCGTGGGTTTGAACCTCACTAGAGATCCATAGGATGCGCAGTGTTGACAGCCCACAAGAAACAGAAAACAGGTGTAGAGTGCTTCTCGGCTCTGCAGAGAAAAAACTTCAATCACCAGCCATATAAGCAGTAATTTTAACCACAGAAGAAAATTAACCCTAATGAAAAGCGTTTTTGTTTTTTTCTGGTGATGATGGGTACTCAAACAGCACTATGCGCACCTACAACAAATCAAACAAAAGCGGTAGCAAACCGCTCGTGTGATCACGGACGCTTTTGCTGATGAGGATGTTAGGCATCCTCGCCTTCATTGCAAGAACTGCTTATTCATGGGACTGTTTTGAACTTTAAATAATCCTCTAAACCCGGAATGTAAGCGGCGGGAGGTTCAAAGTTTGGAAACCTACGTCTAAAATTAAGTTGAAGTTGATCACAGTAGAAAGGCTCAAAAACACTGTACGGTTGGGCTTTCCCTCAGTGGGAGTTATCAAACGTGCACATCATAAATCGTGAAAGGACGTGAACCAGAAGTCCTCTACTACTCCTTCAGTAAAGGGTGTCGGTAGTCTGTCATGGACTCAAAGTTAGAGAAACAAGATGCCGTGCAAACTTCACCCACACAGTTCATTTCATCTGGATTTCGTCGAAGTGGCTCATCGAGCGAAAACTTCTCGAGGGAAAACCTATGGGACTTTTTAGCATAAGCGTACCTATAGGACGAACTTCAAATTCAAAGGAGGGTAGGTTTTAACGTTAGAGCTTCGTCTCGACGATGGATATGTAAGAAAGTCTCTAGCGAGTGAGCGCAGCAGATATCAGGGATCTGGTGACGGCTATTACGTTATTCAAGGCCAAAGATACGTGTGCAGGAAACGCGAAAAGCACATTATGAGGACCCATGTGGGGCTGACTGGTGTTGACACGGAACTTAGCAGAGTAATTAATTGTTGCGGCACAAAACTTTCCAGTTCGTTGAAGTCCACTGGCCGGAAATGTTAAGAGTGGAGCGGCAACCCAACCAGAAAAGGTGGATTAATACCAATCACACCGAACCTGTATACGGGTTCCAACTGCCCTTAAAAATAAGTACCATGGGGCAAAACGCATGCCGAATAATGAAAAAATAATACCGGCTCAACTGCGGTAACCTTTCGGTATATAGCTGCCGTTAACTAGGCAGGCTGAGGTACCAACAGGCAGCCCAAGCCAAGGGAGAAGCCAGTGCTGGGTTAGAACTACGGACTTCCGGTCAGCAATTTCTGTTCTCAACCGTTGAGCTATCTCGAGCTCTGTCGGAGATGAAAGGAAACTTGTGTGACCCACCCACCTGACTTTCAGGAAAAATAGCAAGTGATAGCCCAACCGCGGCTGCTTGGTTTGCATCTCAGTCAACAGAAGTAGTAGAAGCTCGCGCTTTGGGTCCCCAGGATTCATTTCCCACAGATGACGAAACGGGACGAAGATTGGGAACTGCAAACAGTCTTCAAGTTGTCTGTGGGAAGCGAAGAAGTGAGAATAAGAAGTGATGCAAGAAACGAGGGGGTAACAATGAGGAAATTCTAACAATCATACTTAGAATTCTGACACTGGTTGTGATCAGTGAGCAACAGTATAGACTGATGAGAGCGGATCCGTCGTGAAATGTGGGACGACCAATGCGTGCAAGAGTCAAAGCGACTAAAAATCAACCATGTAGAGCCTACTCATGTAAAAAATAAAGGCTATTTATAGGGTGACATTTGACGACGCGATGGTTTTCGAATCCAAAGGAGAAACACGCTGGCATAAGCTGAAATGTGAACCAAGCAGTCTTCACATACACTACAGGGAAATCAACATCTCTAGCAACCCCTTTATCGAACGGCACATCGTGCAGTAATTTCCTCTCTACTATGACCGTCCGGCCGCATACACTGGTTGAAACAGGTGGACGGCTTGTCCCTCTGAAATATCGCAAACTCCCTAACTGGGCTAGATGCGTTCCCTTATTTCATTTTACAATAGAAAACAGTAGTTTGCTATCGACCAATCAAAGATGCTCATTCCTCTCGGAATTAGGATATGGTGCAACTACTTATAAGTAGCCCAGCTTTAGGACCGTTCCTCATTTTCCTCACTGTTAGGCGCCCACTTTCACTACGCAGAGGTACATCGTCCATCAAGTCGTAGAGGTAAATGTTAATGTTCCCGCTCATGCCTCAACTCGCTGCTCCGCTGTACATCGAGTCCATTTGAACGTGGTGGCTATGCCGTTATGCCACGCTATCATTTTTTCTTCCACCGAAGTCTGCCACCATGATGTAGCAGTGTAATGATACCGCACATTATACTGCCTAGAACGTCATTCCTCAAGGTTAAACCATGCTGGAAAGACCAAATGTTAACAAACAAACAAAAGTCATCAAGACTGCTCACTAAGAGTAACTGTCACACCATGAGATCTGCGGCCAAGGCCGTACTGTCTTCTGTGATAGGAGTACAAAGGTGATAAGATATTTCCTCCAGAGGACTAGCATCTCCGCATTTATGGAAGCAGCGATGCTGCCTTCTTCCGAGGAAGTACGGGTTAGAAGAAGTCACCCCTAAACCGCCTGAAAAACCGTTACAACTAGAGCATTACTCAATACGGTCAAAGTGCTCTTAAAACCCGAGTCCGATGGTGCCCAGAAGGTACATACTGTATGTAGTCGCAATGGGTATTGGGCAAACGTGTGTCAGTCCTTCCGTTCTTGGGCTAGGTATATCCTCCACCGCCAAGTGAGGCAGATACTGATACCATTCTGATCAGAACGAAATGCACTGTCTGTTTGCACCTCTGCCAATTTAGTGTCGACTCTCAGTCCTTTACCAGAAAAAAACTATGCACATGCCACTAACAGAGGAATCTGTTCAAAGTGGTAGTGCTTAATGTCCATACAGCTCTACAGATATCCTTCGCTCACACCTTTTCCCCTTTAGGGTGTTTGTAGTCTGTGGAACACAAATATAGACCCTAAAATGGCAATGCGTCAGAATATGGCCCCATGGAGCTTAGTTAATTCATAACTTATTCCTTGGGTGTCATATGATTCAGAAGCGGCTCCCCGTGATCGCAATATTGTGGGTGTGGCGTTGGATGAAAGAGCTGAAGACTCCATCTGTGTACAGGCAGACTTCCCAGGTCAGTCAGAATCCGCAAGTAACAACCTCAAACACGATTCTGTCTCTGCATACGCTCCAACAAGCTGCAACAGAGGCACTATCAAAGGGGCTTCGTACGGAAAAACTCTAAAGACTTCTGCGGATGATGAAGTGCGCGGATAAGACTGTTCTGTCTAGTGATTCTAATGCCCAGTTGGAAAGAATCGATGTGAATGAAGATCGCTTGGGGGAAATTTGGTGTAGGTACCCAAAAAACGATAACAACAATCACTTCCTACGGCTAAGCGCTGATAATCATATATTTGTATCAATCACACACGACGGCATCCCGTTACCCGGCGCCGTCGAAACTGTAGACAACTGACCACACAAAGTGACCAAGAGGCAGTTAGATATAGATGGCGATCCTGTCCTTAAGATAGTCACTCTTTTGGGAATATCTGTACCGTGTTGCAACTCGTTCCCCAGAGGTTATAATACTCAGGGTCAGCAAGACTCGAACGTCAAATAAGCCAATCAACAGCAGCTGTCCCGATTACTTACAAGCGCGAAATGATCCTGTTCGAATTCTGAAACGCTGTGCATCCAACGTTTGGCCCAAAACGTGGTTAAGACCAGGGCAATTTGGATCCCACACATCGGTGTTATTGCCATTAGGGTTCGTATAATCAGAGTCATCCCCGGCTAACAACACTCATTCAAAATACGTAAACCGTCCAGGATCATGCAGGTAGTGCCAGTTTGCTAATATAGGAAGCTCAGCTAAATTAATAAATATGAACGCGCACTATGATGAATAGAGTAGTACTCTGGCCTGGGGAGAGAAGACTTCTCTCCGATCAAAATTCCCAATCCATCAGGAACTGATGTGCTGTCCCCTCAAAGATAGTCTGAATGCTCTTATCCAAGCGAATACAAGTCTTGGATAAGTCACTAAATCTGAATGTCACGTGAGTTCTACACACGCATGACGCAAGTTGAATTTGGTGTTCCAAATGCATGAAAGATTAGTAGAAAAGCACAAGTAGGTTCCTCGAACGAATACACAATCTGGGATGAAACCGAAAACAAACGCACACCTCTATAAATGTGTGGTAAACAACCGTTGGATTTGGTGCTAGGCAACGCCTCGCTTTTGACACGAAATTTCCCCTAGACCAAGGAGGCGGGTTACCGTGGAGGCCAAGTTTGAAGGTAGACGAACAACTCCTTCTGCTAGTACACTAAACCAGTGTCCAGTGACGAATAGAGAAACGCTATTAGTGTAGACGACTAAGCTTTACGACCACTAGGTCGAGTTATGCTTAACACGGACTTTTGCGGCGTTGTTACTTGGGTTCCGATCACTGCATTTGGTGATTGGCTTGGGGTATCTTCTGTGACTCCGACTGGTCCCTCTTAATGGATAAACACACATTTTCACATCGATTCGGCGGCGTACTACTCCGCCATGAGTAGTTCAGATCAAAGCATACAGCTCAAACCAACCACTCTCCAATCAAATTGTCAAAGGACTTCCTAGCCTAAACGGGATGATTACCCGAGGGTAATCATCCAATGCAGTTACCTGAACCAGGGACCCAAGTTAAAAAAATCGGAGTTGTTTCTCTTGTCTCGACCCTTCTGACAATCAGTCACCAACACGACCGACTTTCAATACGAATTTTCTGTTGTTTGAAAGTTCGCTTGCCGATTGGTTCTCCGTCTGCCTTAAAACTTGGCCACCCTGGTAACCTACTCACTTGCCCTGCTGAGGCTTTTGTGATTCATTGCCCAGGATTGAATCCACCTATTGTTTACCATGCTTCTGTGAAACGATGTCTTCCTGACAGGTCCCAAGGTTTTCCCAACTGATTGTAAACACATACTCTTCTGACCATTCAGTTCCCGCAGGCATCAGACGTTCAGCAAACAATGGGAACAACAGCTCACAGACCACTCCGGCTGTACGACCAGCGATATCCAAATCATCAAAGCAGTCTTCCGCTAGGACGGCTTGTACGAGGTTCTCCATCGCAACACATAGGTCAACTAAGACGGAGGCTGAACGCAGACGTACTGAAAGAAGGGAGAGCAGGGTATATAAGCGTAGCACACAATTTTGGAGATAAGTTGTCCTGGTGATGAACAATGTGGAATGAATTCTAAATAACTTATGGATTGGATTTGTTGACCGTGTTCAGTTTCAGACCTCTCTAAAAACAATTTCAGTCGATGCATCGATTGGGACTACGCGAATAAAACGAATCAGACAAACGAGTAACTAAACTGTCCAGGTAACTTTGTCTGGTTTCACAAAGAGTCATTTCGGCAAGTCGGCGCAACGACGTGAGGCAATTTTACCCTAAATGGTTTTGCCGGCACAGGTTTGCACGACGGTCTGGATTGATTTTGAACCGTCTCCTCATCTACGTAAAACTGATGGTCAACAATAACAAAGACAAAGGAAAGTATCATGCCAATAACTTGTCCTGCTAGTCATGGGGCGAGAAACTATTTTGATTCGCACAAGTCTGATAGCAGTCTTGACAAATTTCAGTGGCCTGTCTTTTGGTGTACTGAGAACAATGTCGACATGATACATGCTAGTAATCGGATCCCGAGCAACTGACTAGGTCTCCAATGTAGGCTAGAATAATGTTTGATCGTAATGTTGATTGAAGGGACCGTCTGAAATTATTCCGCAGGCGCGCAGTACACACTGCAATATATACATAGATAAGTTAAAACACTGTACGAACGAGTCCAATAAAGTTGCAATAACTGAACGGTTCCAACGAACGCGAATAAGCTTAGAAAGGCACTCCAGTCCAGCGGCTACCAAGGGTGTTGATTAGGAGAACAGGTTCAGACAGAACCAAAAAGTACCTGTTGGAATATAATTCAACTAAACTAAATGTTTCACAAAATACACTTCGCATGAAATTCGGTGCGGATATTTTAAAAAAGCTACCATTCAAAGGGGACAATGTCAGTAATGGGACTGAACGTCATCTAGTGACTGCTATTCGGCAGATCTGAGCATCTAGAAAAACATATCGCTCTAGAAGACCTCTCGATTTCCGGTACCACCTACCAACGTACCGTTACCACTGTCTGCCAAATCAAACATTCATGATTTCATATCCGGGTGTGCAGCCATCTACCCAAACAGAACCGAACAGAAAATTGTGTAGGCGAACACACGCCGTCGACGGTGCAAGGACAGCTGAGCCAATCAAATGCATCGAATGAGGACACTAAGGCTAAAGGAAATCACGCTGACCTCATCGATCGCTGGCCAGCTAACTGAGAGCAAGCATCGCACAGATCTAAAGGAGCAGTTGACACTGTGTTCAGTCCGATAAAATTCAGCGGTCGATATTTGTTAAAATTACCGCCATTGTAAACGTAGAGAGTTGTGCGTTTGCTATTGAGGCGCGAACTTACTGACCAAAAGGTCCGGGGTTCAAGCCCGACCTCCGCATTTCGACTGCTCTTGCCTAGGGTTGAACGACCTGGCAGTATCTAAGCCATCATGCTTATTGTAGGTGGCAGGGCAGCTACGCACAGAAAGAGTGCTACGGCTGAACCATTATTATTACAGTACTATTACTATTATTATTACTTTTATTGTTATTGTTATTGTTACTGAGGTCAATGTTGATAGCTCAAGTAGCGTAGATGGTCGTTGTTTTGTTCGCCTAGCTGGGAAATCTGATTCCAAACGCTTCGTCATCAGTGCGTTGTTAGAGGGCGTAGTGGAGCGTAGCGATGACACAACTACCTTCCCATCGCTACACTCCACTAGGCTCTCTAACAACGCACTGATGATTTCACCCCGATTTGTGACGAAACGTTTGCAATCAAATCGCCCAGCTCAGCGAACAAACCACAGCAATTCTTTGTTTTAGAAGACTCTGGCAAACAATCGATGGACTTATTGGTTGGATGACCGTTTGATTTGCCTACACGAAGACCGACAGATAGCCTTCCACTTCGTCCTATTCTTATTGTGATTCGTGTTGAGAAGTTCCTAGTACTTCGTTATTTCTGATAATGCAGGAGGAAACAGACCGCAGTACGGGCCGTTACATACTACAACTATTTGCGGCCCATGAAATTCCACTTTTACGTGGGTGCGCGACTCATCAGCCAGCTATTTGACTTTAAAATTTAATGGATCGTGGCAGCTTTGCAAGGTCCGGAATTAACGGACCACTTGCTTTGACTCAGGTAGTTCAACGTCTAATGAGAGGACAGAACTGGAGTTTTATAACCCTTTCGAATTTCGTTAGTGTTACCGGGAGAATCAGCCGAATAGTTCTTTCATGATATTCTTCAAACGGATTTGTTGCACGATATTTGAGATATGGGAGCGTTTTTTTTTCCATTACGCTACTCCTTATACCGACAAAACCCCCAAAAAGATCAGCCATGCTTTTGCCCCTTTTAGAATTTATCAGCTAGACACAGCTCTTGAACCTCATCAACCTTATTCCTACTCGAACACGAAATTGTACATATGTGGGGTTTCACATTATTAACATAGAAGCGTGTTTCTTCACTTATCGCTGCTGTTTCAGTTCCGAAAATAGACATAGACGAACTAACCAGGAACTCACCTGAACTGGTTCGCTTGTCTACTTCACCGTTCAGTAGATCTAGATCGGGTTCGTCACCTCCCCGGTCTGCACAAACCATTCCTCCGGACATGGTACGAACAAGCCCAAATCGGATGGCGAGGTCACGAAAGGCCTCTAGAGCACTTCGGATCGGTCCTTCCAATAAATCAATCAGCGCATTCACATCCACCGGTTCAACGCAGTAACGATATCTAAGCTGATAGTCCTGGAAGCGGCGGCGAAGATTGTCTGTGATGCGGGAGAAAGTTAGTGTGTAGAAAATAGAAGCGAGGATGTTATTGATTTATTGTGATGATTATGATTTAAACTGTAGAATAATTCTTATCACTTGCCGCTTCGGACCGAACACAGCGCACAACTCTTTCGAAAAAATAGGTTCATCCACTCTCAAAACATGCGCTTCGAGTTTAAGGTGGAAATAGTTAAATAAATATGATGAGTGACGGCGAAGTCAGAGACTAAAGATTATTTATAGGGTGCTGGGATCGACAAGGAATGGAGGGTGAACCGAAACGGCCAAGAATGTTCAACCCGAGAAAATATTCTTCACGCTGGAAGGCCAACATCAGAAACAACAAAAAAGAACTGGGGGGTGCAGGTATGTTCAAAATCAAAACTAGCTACTCAAACTGAGGAAACTGCCAGATCTGCCCCAGAAAGTTTCAACATCAGATGCACTCTTCCAGAATCCTGTAATAAATGAGAGCGATGTAGTTTATAACAAGGAGTACGGAAAAAGGTCAAATAGGCAGACAGGCATGGACCACCGAATGGGAGAATGTGGTCTGGACGACACAGATAAATAAGGAATACTTTGCGAAACCGCTGTTGGGCTTACAGAATCAGACAGCCATTCCATGATGGTTCAGTCACAATTTGTTTTGGTGGGAACCGCCACAAAAAGTGTCTGATCGGATGCGTTAATAGTTGGCGTCCTCCCTCTGCAGTGTTACCGGAAATCTTAGCTAGAAACACGTTATCAAAAACACAACCAAGTAGATACGTATTTTACTGCCCTGACAAAATCAGCACGTTTCGGGACGGAGGGCTCATATGAATTTCAGCTGAATCCCTCGTGTTTCTTAGTGTTACTTAGAGAAAATATACTTCAATACCTCGAATATCGTACCGACTGCAACATTAGGCAACAATATGACAAACGACAGATTTAGTTGGGATTCAGCCAAGTATTCCGTTAGACGCAAAGTGATGTATACTTCGCGAATGGGTAAATACACTGTTGCGAAAATCCGTTCACGATGCATACTGTTGGTCGTTTTCTATAAGTTCCCCACACTCCAAGCATTTCACGCGTCGAAATCGAAGCTTACTGTCCTTCATCTCTACAATAAGTACAGTTCCACCGAACACTTCGGCTCAGTTACGGAGTCTGAGGACCTGTTTTAAGAGATAAAGCGTCTCGAAAACCTAGTGAATTTTAAACACTTTCGTAATAACGGTGATGTCTTAGCTCAGTTCCCGGTCCGAATTTTCCAAGCTAGCGTTCTCGTCAAAACGACCACCAAAGGCGCATAACGTGTATTAAACGCCCAAAACCAGGTCAAAAACACTGGTTCAGCGCATCGTATATCAGGCGATAAACGACCACAAAGGCGCATAACGTGTATTAAACGCCCAAAACCAGGTCAAAAACACTGGTTCAGCGCATCGTATATCAGGCGATAACGTCCTGGAAATTCGGACGCCTTCTAGATGCACCGTTGGCAACCGGCATTCGGCAGATACTGGGCATGACTGGCTGTTGGGTAAATGCTTTCAGCCAACTAGAGCTCGCCTTGAGGCTAAATCGGCAAGCGGCCCAATCTTTCGGTCAATCGGGTGCGAGATGTATCAGCGCCTGAATGCGAGCAGTAACCGGTTTCGACGCGGGACTCCACCTGACAGTTTCACACCCTATTGTGACTCCATCTGAGGCCAGAAAAACAGTAAAATAGATTACTGACCGGCAGGTTCGAGCGCAACTCACCGCCGTGTGAAGCCCAAGGATCACGACAAGATGAATGGACCTTATATTCCTTCTGAACGTGATGTGTATGAATCCTGATATGAGCTCCTACCTGCTCTCTTACCGTTCAGTTGCATTCCATTTCTCAAACATTATTTACGATGACGTATAGTTTGATTCTTGGTGTAAAATACGGATGTGTCGCTACCCAAGATGGTGACGAGGATGGACTCACAGACCATTTGGTCCTAGAAATGCAGTACACTGACCACGAGAAACTACTGTTAATAGCCTTGTGCGCAGTTGCGTGTGGTAGTAGAGACCTTGTTGCTGAATCGCCGTGCGACGTTGGCCTGACTGACTGAGTGCAGTCAGTTGTCTCCGCCTTAAAGTCTTGAATATGGTCTTATACATTTATCACTACTCATGAACTGTATCCAAAGTGCAACTCAAGTACAAACAAGCCACTGGATTCACCACATCAAGATATGGAGGCTGGCAGAACGAGAACGATGAGAACTGAAGTAAATTGCACTGATTACCTATTGTCAATTCCATCGATTCCGGGGTCTCCGGCAGCTGATCCGTCTTGTCTCCGTGCACAATAGCTTGAGAAGGCGGAAGTGGCGGGGGACTCCAACTAGCCCGTGCGAACCGAGCATCTTCTTCAGTGATTCGATCGATATCAAGCTTATCTAGGTCAAGCTCAGATAGGATCGGCTCCGGTTGCGCCGTTTGATTGGCCAAATTTTGTCCAACTGGCAAGTGCAAAATATGACGCTTCGGTACAGGCTTCGGTTTGGGTTCATCAGCCATAGGCATGCTTGGGATGACAATCGGAATAGTCGGTTGGTGAGCGACACTGCTCAAAGAAGTGGGGTTGACGGGCACCAATGGCTCGATCGATTTAGCAGAGCCCTCCATGAGTGGAGAAACTGTCGGACTTGGAAGTGCGCCGGCAAGAATGGCTGCCTGGCCGCGCGTTAATCTTGGATCACTCAACGCACCGGACTCTGATGCTGTGGAAGGGGACAGGAAAGAGTAGGGTCATCTTTAAAATCACATGTTAGTCTGTGATAAACGCGAGAGCATATGCGATGAGTGTAAAACAGCCATATCGATAGCATGTGGTGATCGCAGCAAAACGACTAAAAATGACGACAAAATGAAATTCTTGTGCAGACGAGTGTTTTTCGAATTCTGTCCGATTCAGATACAACTTGAACATAAGGTTGTAGGAAACTCAGGGATCGCGCCTAACTGACAGACCCCAAGAAGTGCGAAACCGGTCGTGGGTTGTCAAAGAATACTGTGTTACGTTTAGGACATGGTCTTTTTCACGCTCTCTTGTCGCTCAGCCTCCCCAGATTTGGCACGTGCCTTCGAGTGCGGTCGTAACAAGCAAATGCAACATTAAGCATGCCATGTGAAACTTCGTAACCAACAGCCTTGTAGTAAACGATAAAGTTCAATATGAACAACTGTTAAACATCTCAAAAAATAACAAATCACTTTTTAAAGGCAAACCCCGAGGAAATCACTCATCTTCGAACCAGGGTTGGAAGGGTGTAGATGGGAACTGTTTTGCAATTATTTCCGGTTACCAAGTGCGGAATCGAGCTTCTATATCTACCTGAAACTGTAAGAGGTACCTACGAACCTTGGAGGCGAGATGGCTCAGTGGTAAGAGCGCGAATTTACTGACCACAAGATTCATGCTTCGAACCCTACCTTTGCCCCTCGACATTACCTGTCTAGGCTTGGGCAACCTGGTAGTATCCCTGTCCTCGTGCTTCCTTCGGGTGGCATGGCAGCTAGGCGCCGAATGGGTGTTACAGCTGGACGACTTCTTTACAAACCTTATGTTGCTCACTGACATTTTTTTACGTCGGTTCTGACAAAGCGGTTGTGGAAGGTGTTTGGTCTTTGGCTCGAACCCAACTTTGGCATCTCGACTGATCTTGGCTTGGCTTGGGTAACGTGACGGAATCTCAACCCTCGTGCTTAGTTCGGGTGGCGTAGCTGAGCGAGTATCTCTTTGTGGTCTATATTGGCAGAAAGGATCTGATAAAAAGGGCCTAGAGTAATAAAAACTACTAAATACTTACTTGTTTGCTTGGGTTTGATTCCAGCAAGTGGCGGAGTGGAAGGACGGCGTGGCGAGGATTGGGGAGTTGAGATGCCCGGCGAATGCGGAGGGAATCCATCTATTGGAACCCCTGGTTTATCACTGTTGATCAACTTTCCACTCGCGTCAGTTGGTCCAGGAGACGGTGCACCGATAATGGGTTCGCATCCCAATAAAGATCTCAGCGCACGTAGTAAATCAGGGGAAGTTCGGTGGAGCATCTCGAAGAGAGGATTGATATTCCTGACACGAAAATGGACAAAAAAAGGATGAAGACGTGTTTCATTGGCACACGAAGCAGTCGCAACGCAATCAAATGAATATGTACGACGGATATTCATCATTATCATCAACAGAAACAAAACTGTTGAATACCGGTTCTTCACTTACGCAAACTAAAGACTTCTGGTTATAAAAATAAAAGAATAATAGTCATTCAGCAGCAACACCCCTTCGGTACCTAGCTCCCATGCCACCCGAAGAAATGCGATGGTTGATATATCGTCAGGTCGCTCAAGCCTAGACAGTAGTATTCGAGATACTGAGGTTGGGTTACAACCACGGATCATCTGGCTGGACACGAAAATGGACAAAAAAAGGATGAAGACGTGTTTCATTGGCACACGAAGCAGTCGCAACGCAATCAAATGAATACGTACGACGGATATTCATCATTATCATCAACAGAAACAAAACTGTTGAATACCGGTTCTTCACTTACGCAAACTAAAGACTTCTGGTTATAAAAATAAAAGAATAATAGTCATTCAGCAGCAACACCCCTTCGGTACCTAGCTCCCATGCCACCCGAAGAAATGCGATGGTTGATATATCGTCAGGTCGCTCAAGCCTAGACAGTAGTATTCGAGATACTGAGGTTGGGTTACAACCACGGATCATCTGGCTGGTACGCTCGAGCCTGAGCTATCTAAGCTATCTTAGACCCTTGTTATTCATTACTTAATGCTTATTGCATCTCGTTGTTGAAGCATAGAAGCAGAAGAGCTAACCGAAACGCTTCAAGGTGTACATGTCTGTGGTCATCCAACTAAATTATCCAAACGAAAACTGTCAGCAGGACGATCGAGGATCATATCTTTCAGCGAACTTAACCGGGGAAAAGAGCGCAAACTAGAGCGCAGCCTGAAAGAAGTGCGGCGTCAGACTCATCATCACTGGGAGCAACATCAGATGAGAACATTGGTACACGTACAACCTTGTCAGTTTGTTTAAATATAGCCTTAAAATGGAAACAAAGAAACGGCCAGCCTACCACAAACATCCGAAGTGCCTACGCCTTCAGCACTCATTCATACACCTAGATAGAAGGTGACAGCATGAATGCCACTGACGCTGGTTAGCTGATATCGTTAAGTGTCTCCAGACACATTGAGTGTCACCTGGACCCCAACCTGGAAGGCCGACAGTACGAACAGCATCCAACCCTTTCGTAATATCCTTTACTCCCCTCTGCTATGTCAAATTCTGCCTAACTCTAGGTTTCCGCCACCCCGAATCAGGCACGGATAACAACATTCGTTTCGGCATGTGCAACAAATGGCCCGGGCACCACAACTTGCGGTGCCGGATAATTTCTGTGAGTGGAGTACCCGTATGCTCTGCCAAAAACTTGCCTCCTGATCAACCGATTTCGAATTCACTGGTTCAAGCAGATTTTAGCCATAAGTTTGAGACATCAGCGGCCAGAGACCTATAGATGCCTCAGATCCTCTAGGCTCAAGATTCACAACCTTATAATAATACAGCTTATACAGTAGCTTGATACACGCTTCCTTCGGGTCCCAGTGAGATACCTCTTTGATGGTACGAAGGATGCGAACTGGCGAACGCAATTCTGGCCTTCTGGATTTGTGCGTTCACTTCATCTGTCGCACCGTCATCAGAGGTAATTCAAATTCCAATATATGTGTAACGTTCCACGGCCTCCAATGCCATTGCTTGAATTATCAGAGGTAGTTTGAATTTCCACCTTGCGGGCACGAAGTACATGCCGATGACTTTGCTCAGGCTTTCAACCAATCCTTGTGTTTCCTGCTGTTTTTTTTAAATGTCGTTTGCATATTCTAAGTTGGCAAGGTACTCGCTCAAACACATCTGAAAACAGGAATTTCGGAGACCACTGTTCGTTACCCCGACGTCAAGCTGTTATCTTGTCGTGATGTTCAGGCTACTGTGCTGTAATGATCCTGCATACTATGCTGACTAGCACAAGATGCACCGACCATACCGCTATCTTGAAACAAGTACTTGAGCAGCGCTACTGGTTGATCATTAATTGTCACGTTGGTCGTTTTCCTATATATAAAATCTACTTTTAACTCTGTCGATCATCAGAAACCTTGGCGGTGTCTGTCGATCAAGGGTATTCCTTGAAAATTTACATCCTTAAGGAGGCAGGGTACGTTGTGGACAGTAACGAGCATAAAGTTCTGAGTGGAAGCGACCAAGAGGTGAACAGTGTATAACCTGGCAACGGAGTGTTAAAACAATGACCGGTAAACTTAGTCGAGTCGGCAACTGACGCATCTCTGGATGGAGACTCAGGGACTCAACTCACCAATGGTTAATAATGCTGGCAGAAATGGACCAACCGGGCGGTCACTGGCGCTCGTGCATCAAAGCTATCGCCTTCAATGTGTAGTTACCCAGTACCCGAACTAACCAAAGACGCTATCATCATCAATAACTGGCTCTACCTCTCACGCTCCCCCACTCTCTGCTGATCGAAACTGTGGCAACTGGGACCGATTTACCCTTGACACACGGTTTATAGCCAATGAACTGAACGAAACTGAACTTGCCTCATTATCCCGTCAAATAACCAAAGTAGACATAAACGGAGTGGACAAGCTTGTCAGACTCCACTGCTTGTAAAAAAAACTTTTGGAGAGTTCCCCACACACCCTTGCGCGCACACAAGCGAATGATGCTCATGAACTCTCTTCGGTACCGTCTTAATAATTACACTAAGTTATTACAGCTCCACAACTTCACGTGCCTTTCGCATTTCTATAAGTCGTGCTTCCAGGTTCTGTACATCCTGGAAGCTCATAGTTTGTCAGTGAAGGTTTACATGCCAAAACCTGGAATGACTTGACATCTGATCCAGAAACAAGTAATTTTTTGATAATCAGAACAACGTCCTCAGAGTATTACAGACGGCAAAACTTCATCGACAAACAGTGAGTTCCAGGGCTCTCAAGACCTTCCATTGTTCACGCGGCTATGGTACCATTGACAGAGATAAAGAAGAATGGCAACAGTGGAAGTATCTGTCAGACACTACTTTTTTTGTGGAAAGGCTTTTGGACAGTTCATCTTATGCTCACACGCTTAAAACTTTGTACAGCACAGTCTGAAGACAAACTTCTGTGGTACAGCTTGTTGAGCAAGCGTACTTGCAGGGAACCCATTCGAAGAGTTCAACAAACCCCAGAAGACAAAACACAATTAGAATGTTGATCCTGTGTATGCCTTAAGATACTCGAGGACGCGAAGGTGGCACGCAGCTATACTCTGCTACAAAACCCCGGGCAAAGGATGTTACCTCACTTGGTGGTAAAAAGTTTGCAACCAGGGTACCTAGCTCAGCAAATAAACCAACAGCCGCAAATGGTAGATGATGACTGAGTTTTCGCGGTACAGGCCGAACATCTGTCACCTGACAAACCCTATATGCTAAACTGACGAATCACTGTCATACGCTCACCCATGGGCCACTTCATTCCTGGCATCGTTGATTAAAAGTTTGAGATCCTTGGATCGAAGTGACCAGGTGTAGCGGCTGAAACATGGGGTGGTTGTCACCGGTGTCTGGTAAACACGCCGTGAAATTCGTTGAAGCCGAAGATTAGGCAAGCTCATGAATATTGCTAGTACTGATTATGCATCCAGTGAATTCATCTGTCTTATCAAAATCATGACATATACTTCTGATACGACAACTAAACAGCTTCTCACAATGAAGTGTCACAGAGAGACAGGGTACTGGAAATCATGTTGTGAATATACGAAACGCAGAGTAAACACATTACACTGTGTAAACTCATGATTGTCAAATGACTGTCCATCCAAATCCACGCTGTTACAACCAGTCAAACGTCACGGTACCTTTAGAAAGTTAAAAATCCTGTAACATGGGGTAATCAGGACTGATGAAATCAAAAATCTTTTCCGATATAGCGTATTCTGGGACCAATCCTTGGCACAAAAGCTAGTTAGGCCTATCTACGCTACAGATTAATTGTACAAATCGTTTAACTCATAGAATACCTTGTCAGTCCAAGCAGTGGTATTCTCACAAAGAAAATTAAACAGCATCCAACAAAGATGCAAAGCGAGCTCGGAGGAAGTCAGTATTAGGATGGGTTGTGTTTTCGTGTGCTACAGAAAACTGACAGAAACTCACTTGACAACACCCAACCGAATCATTTCCTCTAGACCGCTCCGTACACCAGCGACGATTCTGTCAGTCATGGGCGGGTGATAGGTCCCAACGATCTGTGTAATAAAAAATTTAGACTGAGTCACTTTTTGTAATATATAGATTTAAAAATATTTTTCAAGTCGCATATCCTATCACATGAGAATCGTGGAACATTGGGTCATCTGACGTCATCTCCCACTTATGCAATGAACTCCCCAACAGGATCGTTTGAACGTGGGGTTTCAACGACCGAGAACATAATTGCTATCCCTAGTAGCATCGGTCTATGAATCAGCAAGCACTCTGATCGAGTGGCAGTTTGTATCCTGCAAACGAATGTGCAGAACCTGAAACCAACATGAAATCGCCATGATATGCCTTTTTCATTATTGAGGTGATTTACTTATTCAGTCTAGTGGCCACCGTCACCCGACCTTACTGAATCTATGTACAACCGGTGAGATTGGTGCAGAATATGCTGGCAACTACGTTATCACCGAAATGTAAAGTTGGCTGGTGCAGAGCTAGATTAGGGGTTGTGGACGCGCAGGACACGTTGCAAAAAAGCGTATATGTAATAAAAGTAATCGCGTCTAGTACCCCAAAATTTATCTGATTATCCAGCGATTTAACGATTTAACCAGCGTAGAAATACTGTGGGCTTAACGTCATAAAGTGTCAGTGTCAGTCATCAGTGGATAGGTTAGGTGTGCTGTTTCATTGATTCTGTAAGCCTGGTCCTGTATTGGCTCACTCAGTCACCTAGACACAACTATTTCGGATGGTACGATATTAAATATATTGTAATACATCATAGAAACGTCACAAACTATTATTAAAGTTATGAAAACTCTTCGACAGCCCACAACCAATTTCGCCCTTCTAAAAGCTCATCAGGTGGATGCGGTAAAGACGATGTACTGATCGTATCAACTGAAATATGAGGAGGTCTGGCGCACCAGATTCGATTGAAGAAGATGAAGAAACGAGAAATTCAGCTAGATTCAGAAGAACCTACCGTCAAAACCAAATTCGTACGTAAATGAAAGTAGTTAGCGAATGCCGTCCGGGTCCACGTAGAACATGAGATTGATGGAAACCTGGGGACTGTCCCCATTGGATTATCCCAAAGAAGGGCGGAACCGGCCGAAGGCTATCAATGAACTTTCAGTAACCTTACGAATAGTGTGCTACATCTGGGCAGTGGAAATCTTGGCCGAAAATACTACACAGGTTTGCTCTCATCGTGGGACCGTGGTGTCAGGGTAATAGCCGACGATCTCGTTCAAATATAGTGTCCGGCAGTATCACCAACAGACAGAAAGAGAGACTAGGACACGAAAGTTAAAACCAAATAGAAACAGAGAATGTTGGATGATGAAATACCAATGATAGGACCCTGTACAGAAAAACAGGTAGAAATAGATGCCGCTGACCCAAAACATGCCAGCAAACGGGTCAACGCTGATCACGTGCTTCAGGCAGGTTCAATCGCAACTACCGGATATAGTGATTTACTCGAGTGTGTACACGAATCGCACTGTTTCAGGCGTTCCAAGGGTCTAAGAGTGGTGAAGGATATTCACTGACCAATGTCTCACATAATAACTTGTTTTTTCCACACAGAAATCACCCACAAAAACACCTCGTTTGTGGTTACCTAATTCAGAGCACAGTGTGCAAGCCACAGTTAGCCAAGCAAGCACACTGAGCCTTAAAATGCTACTCTACTTGACAGAAGTGGCTGACGATCTGGGTAAAATGCTGAAAACTGACTTCCCTGCAGGATGGAACTGTCTTACTATTCCGATCGATGAACCGCATTGTGCATTTGCAGTGAAACACCACAGGTTCAGTCTCCCCGTTGGGCGCCTTGAGACTGGCTTCCAATCTCCGACTGGTGAGCCATCGGCTAAATACCGAAGATTTAAGGACACGAATAGCAATGAGAAACGGTCACCTACGCTCCATTCACTGCGTGAACGCATTTTATCATTGGGTACACAAATACAGATGGAACCCGGAAATAACCATTGTACGGTAAAAATTTGCAAAAAAGGCGACGGCTCACTTTAACAAGGAAGTCCACTAAAGACAGTGCGATTGGCTGTGTTCGCGGCGTCAAGTGATTCATCATTGCTAACAAGGCTGGTTCTGTTGGATAAAGAAAGAGGAGTGTTTGAGCGATATGAATTCGGTTTGCGTTCAGGTCTGTACCCAACCACGCAGTAAAAAAATAAAAACAAAAAACGTCGGAATCGAAGAGCACATCAGACACTAACAACCAGGGAAACTGAAAGCCATAGGGAATCCACAGGTGGACAAGGATACAATGTCTTAGTACTCTATCAAGCCGTTGAAGCGATCCAGGTATCAAAGTACACAAAGTAGTATTACTTGCCTGCTCATTCCCAAAGTTCGGAATGGCAGCACATCCTCCTGTGCCACATTCACTCAAAGACAAGCCACTGGTGCTATCCAACAAGGAAGATACTTGCATCCGGCCGAAAACTGATCACTCTATGGTTAAACGGACTCAGCATGAAAAACGGTTCACATAAACATAGAGGACGATCGATTAAGTTCTTATGACGTTTCCGAATTCACTGCGCGTTATCATCTTGGCAACTTCATAATGAGCCACGTGAAGATAAGATCAACTATCGTTTCCGATCCTCACCCGATTGACACTCCCATTAGTTGTTCGCTTCTTGGGGTCTTCATATTCGTATGCACTGCTTACTTACCAAATGGGTAGTGGTAATTGACGACAGTTGATGGCAATAGACACTACTCGATCACGTAGAGTCTAGGCGAGGACTACATCTAAGTCGAACGGTTGTCGTGGTGTTTCATTTCTGTTGCCCTGCATGTTCCGTCTAGTCGTGCGAGGCGTGCGTGTGCACGCAGAGAGGCAAGACATTAATTTCACAGCTCTGTTTTTGTCAGTAGTATACCGACGAATGGTTGAACGAAGCCTGAAAAATTGAAGTGGTCAGCGTATTCTTACATTGGATGGCATTAGGGTAATGTAGAATAACTGATTGAGTCTTGCTGTGGTACCTGCGATTCCGACACACAGACTGTTAGAGAGGACACTTGCTTGCGTAACGCTTACCCAAGTTCATAATGCAACCATTTGGTTTGAAAAACAGCCAATCGTAGAATAACGCAAGCTTCGCGTTGGCGGTTACGACAGCGCACTGGAACGAGAGAAAGTGCATATACTTAACTCAAAGACAGTGAAGGTTAACTCTTGCTATCTGGATTCAATAAACGGGACATTCTCATTTAGGTAGACCGGGAGAAATTAACACGTAGCATTTGAAATCAGTATTTATCAAATCAGCATGTTTGTGCACATCTAGTACGATGGTTTTGTCAGCCCACAAGTTGCGCGAACCTCATAGCAGAAGAAGACAGTTGACAAGGGGCTCACAATTCAGCTTGCAAATGAAGGCATGACTAAAAAAGCAGTTCGGATCGAATCCTCTTGCGGTGGCACTCATTCGGTATACCAATATCAAGTATCGGGGGAAACATGACAAAAGAACTATTGCAAGCTTAACCAGACCGAGAGGAGTTCGTCGATTTCGAACGACGAACTTGAGTTCATGATGGGTGCTATCAGTTGCTCCCACTGTATCTGTGGATGAATAGAATTGACCAATAAGATTTGTACCTGCAGTACCTTAACTGGGAAGTTGCACCCGAACACTCAATTAGTTGCGACAGAACACATGTTTTGAGGAATATGGCTCGTTTGAGTGGAACTCACGGTCTACCGAGTGTGGCTTGGGACAACCCGATAAAATGCTACGTGTCATCAACAGGACATTCTTTTTACTCAGTGGCCGTTGCCGACCATGATGCCTCGTCTTGTCTGTCAGAAATAAGGGTGTTATGGGAGACTTGGGTGATGAAAAAAAACATAGTGTACATATTCACACACGTTGATTTTCTACCAAGCATTCTCCCGAGAGGTATGTCCTAGTTAAAGGAATCAGGTCGAGGCTGGAGGAAGTCATTTGCCCATGAAGGTAGTAAATCAGCTGTTCGGTCCAACTGATCAACGACGTCCTAGAGCTTATGCAACATAAACGGGCACTAAAAGGAGTAGCTGCACAATTTGACAATCAAAGGGAAACCGCCGCTATGGTTTATCTCAGAAACACAAACACAAATGTATGGTGACTCACGGTGGATTGAGAAAGGATCCACGAGATCACATTCCATCGAGGAATCAGAGTAGACGCTAGCATCTCATTGTCTGGGTAGAAGAAGGTGACAATATAACGTAGAAGACAAACGCGGAGGCTTTGGCTCTCTGGTGTAGCGAAGAATTTCCGCTGAAAGACAAGAAACAGTGGATGAGTAAAACATCAAGCGCAGCGTTGGTTGCATGGGTTTTTTTTTTGTAGGCGCAACCTACTTGAAAGAATTCTTGGTAGCGATTGACTGGCACGCGGGGTACGCAATGAACGTTCTTCATCATCCAACGAGCCCACTGTTCCATTTCATGAGGGATAAGGGTTTGTGTGAAGCACTGTGGAGTTGTAATTTCGAGCACGTCAGCCACACCTGCAAAGAATGGAGGATTACGATCACAAGTAGAGGAGTCTGGATTGGAAGGCATCAAACAGAACACCGCCAGCTGAAGGCTCTGTGGGTAGATGCAGGGAAACTGTCATAGAAGGGGCATTCATCAGATTGGTACAATCTGACCATGGACGTTCCTTATTGAGGAGTATCGCTGCATGTATGCGCATGCGTGAATGCGTGTCTACATACTGGCAATGGAACTAAATGCAAGCACACAAAAAAGATGGATATGGGAAAGCTGAGAATTAATGAAAATAAATTTTGATGTGCATTTTCCAACTCAGCTTTGCTTTTGGATCTTGAAGGGACCTAGATGGAAGACAAGCTTAACAGGTTACCAAGTTGCTTTGTAGAAAGTAGCCCTCTGCTTGAGGAAAAACAGACGCCTCTGTAAGAGCCGCCGAAGTATGAAAGTCGACTGCAGTAAGCTTTTCAGCCAATGAGTCCGCGGCCTTCACGAGTAGTTTGCACTAATGGTACAAAGAAAATGATTCCTGGTCAGTGTGGGGTTCCCCCATAAAGTTCGGGATTTCAGGGAGGCCATCATTTGGCAAAACCTCCGCAATATCGGTTATGATCCCGTTAAACTTCATGTTTGAAATATACAACGTTCATATTGTCATAATGTCGATGCACTCCTGTATTTGTCATAGCGAAACTAATATTCTGAAATAAACGACACTAAGGGAGGTGATTGACAGTCGCATGCTGAAAGGGATAAATGGGGCATTAAAAGTTCGGAACCACGGATGACAAGTGAGTTGTAAGCAAGTGCGGCTCTCAACATGCATCGGTTAGCCCGTGGACTAAGAGAAGCTGTACTACACGTGAACGGCAGAACTGTATAATTAGTCATCATCAAGAAGAACCAACTGGTATGCCTGAAGTCGAAAACGATTCTAATCGATAATATGGTCTCCAATTCAATAATTAGTGAGTGTGGTTTGCAAAACGTTCACCACAACCATCTTATCGGTTCAGCCCCATGGTGGAAATTAGCTAACTGCCTTATTTGTGTGGACGAAATGACTACTGGAGATGTTTGTTCATTTACTTTCTTTTTACTGATCTGAAGTCGCATTATGGAGCAATACGACGACATCGACAGAGGTGCTGTGAACTCACTTGAGAAATGTGAAGACAAGAGGGGCATGTTCTGAAGTATGTCATCCCACAATCGTCGCATCGGATCCAGTCTGGCGACACCATGTAATAAGCGAATAAAATCCCGCCCAAGCTGAGCACATCGATCGAACTACACAGAGTAAAAAACACACGTATGATCAAGGAGATAGTTGCATCTGGAAACCCAAAACAGATGGGAAAACTCAAGAAGAATCTATTCTGAGCGTTCGTCAAACTTCTAAATAGGCGAATCAGTAAATCTGAACCAAGCATACCTTTCAATCAGACACAATGCTAAACAGGGGAACTTGTTACACATACTCCTATGATGTATCCACATTTGACACTGTGAGTGGATGTTCAAAGTTCCTCAATAGCGGGCTTCTGCAAGTCTATACCAAAAACTGTAACAGCAGATGTGGTTCTAATGCACTCCTTTGAGTAAAATCCGTTCAGTTATAGCACCTTTCGATGCCTAACTGCCATACCCGAAGGTGGCACGAGGGCTGGGATACTGCCAGGTTGCCCAAGTCTAGACATGGGAAGTCGAGGGGAAGAGGTTGGGTTCGAACCAAAAACCTTCCAGTCAGTGGTTCGCGCTCTAACCACCGAGTCATCTTGTCCTCTTTGAGTAAGCAAGCATTGGTCTCAGGACACTGATACATCTATGTATCAAGTGCTGGTCCCTGCCTATGTCACCTACACATAGACGCTCTTAAGAGAATGCACCATAGCTATGCAGCTTTAGCACCGTACGTACGGCAACTAAGCATCACCTATGAATACCGGTCATTCTCTCAATGATGAGGATGATCACATTTAGCCGTGGAAAGAACCCGGCCTGCTGGTCTGTGAAGGTTGTTTACCAAGTGTGGTAAAGCCACTGGCAATTATTGTGTCCTCTACCGGGGTCTCCATTGGGAGCTTTCGCATTTACCTGACAAGTCACAACTTGACAACCTGGGGTATCCCGACCTGAAACTGCCACCTTGATGTGGTAGTCGAGCTTGAGTGCTGCAATGATCCCGCGGGCCACTATGGCTGGAACTTCGTTCAACAAGGCAGTTAGACCAATAAGTTCAAAATACTTGTAAAACAAAATAGCCTGGTGCTGTTCGAAAGGCACCTGCTGTGAACAGACGCATCAGGATTGAGACAGTAATTCCTTGCATACGGGGGGCCCAAATTTCAGATAACGTACTGTCGGATTTCCGTTGCCATGATATAACAAAATGACCGATTGTGTACCGACAAAACTCACGTGCTTTCTTATCAACTCTTCCGTGAAGTTCAGTTCACGTTGCCGAAGAGTGGCCAGAGACCCCGGCTGTTGTGCTGTGGATGCTGCTACCTGAGAACTGCTCAGTACTGCGGAACTCGTGTGATGATCTGGTATCAGCCGCAAAAATGTGAACACTATTAGTGGAAGCAGAAATGCCTGACGCTCGGGGCTAGTTAACCAATCTCTGAAACGGCACGTTGTTTAAAAGAATGAACAATGGACATACTTGTTCTTCTCTAAAAGGTCTACCATGGTTTCAATAAGCCAAAGGTTTCCTGAACTCAGATCTCCGCCTTTATGGAAATGACTCGCCGATTAATATTGGGAATAAAGCTTACTGGACATCCGGCGACAAATGTGTAATATCAGCACCTCCACGCTGGCACGCGCAACAATCAGTTCCCCTAGGAGAGACAAAAGATTCGTCCGTACTGACTGTGGCATCTTTGGCCAGGTTTCAGCAACCAGGCGGGTCATTTCGGACAGGGCGTACGTTAGGTTGTCCCGAGATGTCAGGACAATATCTGTACAATATGATCGTCTGCGATCTGGTTCTGTGAGTGCAAGATAGAGTAGTCCAGCTTGCAAGGCTCTGTGTTCCTCTTCGGTGCCAGATCGATTGGCCTGTATGTGTAAGCCGTGAGCTCGAATATGCAGTACTTACGGCAGAATTAGCAATGTCCGGATCGGATTCCCGAAGCTTCTTAACAAATTTACCTGCATCTTGAAGGGACTACAAGAATTGCACATATTACTATGTGATTTCTACCTGAAGGAACTTCGGTGGGGCATCGATAGCGCTAAGTTTTAACAAAGGTTTAATCTGGACCTCCATTGAAACGGGAACTGGAGAACTAAAAGAAAAATGAAAAATAACTTTGAAATTGCGTGCGGGTTTCGGCTGAAAACTTAAAGCTAACAATTGCCTTTTTGGACACAGTGTAAGACCAGTTTTGAGGTCAACGCACGAATCTGAAAGTCTTGGGTCGCGTTCGCTGATTTGAGACACTTACGGCGTCAAAGTGTTGTATCCCTGAATCTCAAATGACGTGTTTTAAGCTACAGTACAGGCTGTTTTGTTGTATGGCTGGAGACCTGGCCTGTTCGAGCAGCGGAGACATCTTCAGGTGTTCGACAATCGTTGTCTCAGAACCGTAGCTCATGTGGTTTGGCGTCGGTGTATCCGTGACGAGGCAATTAGAAAGCGAGTTTTCGGTTTGCAACGGGTACGTCCATTAATGGATGTGTCCAGCATCAGAAGCTGCGTTGGGTGGAACATGTGTTGCGTATGCCTAACCATCGCTTGCCGGAGAGTGCTTTCCATGCCGAAATAATAGTGGCGGAAGCAGAAAGGTGCCTAACCCTTGAGCTGGCAGAGAGGTGTGAAAGAAATCACGAAAGGTTTGGCTGCTGTCAGTCCTGCTCGCCTTCCAGGATGGGGACCGCGCAATCCTCACCGCGCCTGGGTGGAGACGCTACAAGATATGGCTGCAAACCGATGTCAGTGGCGATCTTGTTGTCAGCTTCTATCCAGATTGCCTGAATGAGTGTTTGGAGGTGTAAACACCAAGGAATGTTTGTAGTAAGCTAGCGCTAAGTCATTTCTCCGTCCAGCTTCATTCTTTTCCTCACAATAATACTCTCAAATAAGTCATGGTTGTACGGCAGTGAAGCATCGGTGTTCAACACTGATGTCATGCTGTCTATGATGATGATGATGATGATGATGATGATGACCCTTTCGGTGCCCACGACTTTACATTCTCCGGCTGTCCTGAGTCAGCCAACCCTTCTTCTTTGGCCCGTGCAATAAGGGAGTATGACTGCCCTTACACATCTATGACTGCCTCACACCCCTGTCTCTATAACTCATTAAGCTGTCAATCACCTAATCGTTGCTTCGTATCTCAGCCTCTGTCCAGGAAAGTAAATACCCTTATTAAATTGGTTGTGCCACATTGTCGCTCTTGACGTCTGTACTCGCTGTCAAATAGGTCAACAGTCAGCTCTTGCTCAGGCCTTGTTCTCTCTTGCAGTGGATGCATGTTTTGTCTACGGAATACGCATACAAGACCCCCGGCCATTCATCTCAAACTGCTCGGGGCGAACCCATATTTCTCAAACCTTAATCTTCAAGTAGCTGGAGACCCTAATAAACAAAAAAAGATAATCGTTCAGCTGTTACAACCTTTCGGTGCCTAGCTGCCAGGCCACCCGAAGGAAACACGAGGGTTGGAATACTGCCAGGTTGTCAAGTCCTACATAGTGAGATGAAGATGTCGGGTTCCGTTGGAAAATTGCGGAAAGCTCCTTTTAAACGGCAGAATTGTCAGTCTTCTCTTACACCAATCTGGTTTATTCACAATTCGGAGCACTGAGCCACCCCGCACCCTGATACACTTCCTCGTCGTATCTATGGTATGAGAATTGTGCTTCGCCCCAGGACTGAATGCACTTTACTAGACTGGATTCCAGTGGACAGGCGTCTTTGCCTGGTTAGGCAGACAGGTTCAGTCACGATCAATGCATCTCGACTTGTTGCTTGTGTCAGAATACGCTCTAACATACGTTATCTCCATGGCTCAGGTAGACTCTATGGAATCTAAATAGAATCTATAGAATCTATACAGAACCTATAGAATCTACAGATAGTTGTCGCGGCTACTCTGATCAGCAAAAAGCATGGATGTCCTGGTTTCATCAGGTTATTTGAATGCCCTGGTCGGCCGACGTAGTCCTAATGAAGTCCATCCTGGCATCCGATTCGGGGTTTTCGCTCACAACATAGATAGTGGGCGACGGCTTCTTCAGTTACGTGCTTTCTATTTGTTATTAGTCAGCAGAAACGTTCGGAACAAGCGTCTAAACCGCGTATTTTGGAGGCCACCAACTCTAAACCAGTCGTGGACTGTTGGACCATGTGGCAACCCGTTATTGATGGGATGTTCGATAGCTCAGTGGTCAGAGCGCGAATTTACTGACCGAAAGGTCCGTAGTTCGAACCCCACCTCTGCCTCTCGACTTCCCTGTCTAGGCTTGGGCAAATTGACAGTATCCCGACCCTCTTGCTTCCTTCGGGTGGCATGGCCGTCAGGCACTGAAACGTGCTACAGATGAAAGATGTTCGATTGTCGTTCATTTTGGAGTCTGTCTTGTGCACTGAAACCCTGTTTCTACACTTCAGCCTCTCACTGACACCTTATTGGTCCGTTAGCTCTTTTTATATTCCGGTTCAGTTGAATTCTATATCACGAAACGACTCACGTGTTTGAAGTAAAACTTCCTCATAGTTGTTCGTCTCCTTCGTTCCGATGAACTGACGTCTGACACAGTAGCAAAGAGAATATAACACTGTCAGACCAGGAGATATCCTTCTTCCTGAATCAGACCTTTTGGAACTACAACCTGTTTTAAATGACCTAAAAAGTTCGGTTGCACCATTCGGGATGTGCTCCGCACATGCAGTGTAAAGTGATGCTACAAGATTGAGTACGATCAAATCCAGGCCCCATGCATGCAGGTGAAGCGGTCGATGCAACGGATGTGTTCATCTATGTGGGCACAAGTCCTTGTGAATTGGCAATAGACGAAGCCACTTACGAAAATGGAAAGACCAGGCCAGTGTTGTCAAACGCCATCATTTGTGCCGCGAGGGTGCTAGCAGCTTCTTTGTCAATGGCAGTTACATTGCTGCTGTCCGATCTGTCCTACCTTATGGATCACAGAGGCGGTTGAAAACTTTACATTCGATTATTAGAACACCTTGAATAAGTGCGCTGGTTTGGTGGGCACTGCAGGTAAGTAATGCCGAAACAGGAAAGATCGTTCTTATGTCAGATATATCAACTAGTTACATCCTACATGTTACGCTGGTCAGGTCACGTAATTAGCCGAGACCTTATGGGGCGGAGATGACCAGAGACGGTCAGCCGATGACTCAGAAATGAAGCATAAAAGACCTTGCAAATCAAGGTTGTCGTATTGCTCAGAGCTGTATCTAGGGATGGGGTCCGAGGAATAAACCACAGGTTAGCGACCCCGGCAGATATGGTTGTGCCACTGAACTAATAGAGGTCCTGCATCAAAGCCACCTTTTTCACTGCATAGCTCTGACTCCCTGCCATACCAGATACACCGTCCTATTTGTTGACCAAGGGAACATTGAGCGATTTTCTCAATCGCGTGACTCATTAGTACCACTCATCCTTCGTGGAAATGCCGAAGCATCCAGCGGCTACAGGCCGATTAGTCTCATTACTGTATAGTGCAAGGTGATGGAACGCAATCTGAAGCGATCCATCTTAGATCAGCTTACTACTAACAACTTGATATCCCAAGTTCAACATAGATTCATCCCAAACCGGTCTTGCGTGACGCGCATGCTCGGACAGCTTAGCCCAAGCCAAGGATTAGTCATACCAGATGCCATATTTTTCGACTTCTCAAAAGCATTCGACCGAGTTCCACACGTCCCACTGTTCAACGAACTCGAGTCTTACGGGGTTCAAGGGGCAGTTCTACGCTTGCTTGAAGTGTTTTTATCAGACGGAACATTCCGAGTGAAGCTAGGCTCGGCGTACTTCTTTTCGGCGCCGGTCTCCATTGGAGTTCCCCAAAGCTATGTTTTGGGACCATTTATGCTTCCGATCTACGTCTAGGACCTTCCAAATGTTCTTTCAAATTCATGTCTACCTTTTGCAGACGACTTGAAATCCTGGAATTCTAACGCAAGCGCCATCAAATTGGATGTAGCTGCTACAAAGCAGTGGTCGCTGGATCGCAACTTTCCTCTGAATGACGAAAAGTGCATCCATGTGTGAATCGGAGGGGACTCAGCGAACGCCATTGTTGTGCACGGTAAATATGGACCGGAAGACATCACGGGGGTAGATGCCAGAAAGGATCTAGGTATCTGGCTGTCTTCAAACATGTCCTCACTGTACTATGAGAATTTGGCATTCGTCGTTCTATGGATTATTCGGTGAACCTTCTCCCGTGCCACTCGCATGGACTGCCAAATGCACTATGGTGCCCATGTCAGACCAATTCTTGAACACTCCGACCAAGTTTTCTACTCAGGACGCACGGTAGCCAGCCTTAAAGTCGTGGACTATGAAACGCGCCTCATGGCGATTGGCTTTCAACAAACTCGGCGATGTTAGACAGTCAGCTTGCCTTGAAAAACCGTCCATAATCGCACTCACAGAGACCTGGTTCACCCCAGATGTCTCCGACGCGGAGATCTCGATAGACGGTTACTTTATTTTTCGAGCTGACTCAAAACGAGGGAGGGCTGGTGGGGTTGCTCTGTACTTACACGCGGCCCTACCAATCCCGATTGTCCTCGCTGACACCACCCCTGCACCCTTCTGCGATGCACCGTGGGTCCAAATCCCGCTGCGCGGGTCCGATTCTCTCCTTCTCGGTGTGGTCTACCGTAGCCCTTCGAGTCCCCCTGAGGGCGACCAATTCCTCACACAAACCCTTGGGCAACTCTCCTCCAACTACCATTTCACTCATCTCCTGCTGGTAGGTGACTTCAACGCCCCAAAGGCCTCCTGGATTGCACTCCAGCGCGTCGAATCAGGCGGACCTTTTGCAGCAGCGCTGTTAGAAGTCGTTCAACAGAGCGCTTGGACCCAACATGTCGCTGCACCCACCAGATACCGCGCAGGCCAACAACCATCCCTCTTGGATTTGGTCATCACCAACGAAAGACACTTCGTTGATCAG